GGTCGGTGATGAAAGCCATTTTCTCCTAGTCATTTGGGTGCATTCAAATTTGGTTGTACCCCGAGAAGGCATCCATGAAGCTCAAGAGTTCATGCCCTGCCATCACATCAATGAGCTGATCAATCCTCGATATAGGGAAGCTATCCTTAGGGCAAGCTTTGTTTAGGCCAGTAAAATCGATGCATATCCTCCACTTCCCATTGGTCTTCTTCACCATCACCATGATGGGCAGCCAATCGGGGTATTTGACTTCCCGAATGAACATGGCATCGAGTAACTTCTGCACTTCATCAGCGATCACTTGTCACCGTTCTATAGCGAAGCTTCTCTTCTTTTGCTTGATGGGTTGGTAGCGAGGGTTGGCGTTCAGGTGGTGTGTGATGACTTCGGGGTCAATCCCCGGCATATCCGCTGCTGACCAAGTGAACACGTCGGCGTGATCCCTTAGCAGTTGCACAAGCTCTTCTCGGAGGCGGTCATCTAGGAGAGAGCTGACCTAGACCGTCCTCTCGGGGTCTTTCTCGTTGAGTGACACTTGAATGAGGTATTCGACTGGTTGGCCGCGCTATGTTCTCACTTCGTCCCGCAGATCATAAGCTTCTACCATCAACGTTTCCGCGGCTGGGTGTGGTCCTCGACAGGAGAGCAAGTAGCACTACCGTGCAGTTCTTTGTTCTCCACGCGCTACCCCTATGTCATAATCGGCAGAGAACTTCATGGCGAGGTGGAATGTGGAAACCGTAGCCTGCAGAGCATTAAGGGTCGGCCTGCCAAGGATAGCGTGTACGATGAGGGGCAACGAACCACAATGAAGTCCACCATGGTTGTTGTAGTGATGTCACCGTCTTCGATCAGGAGGGGAAGGGATATCCTTCTAGTGGGAAAAAGGGTCTCCCTGGAGAATCCCACTAGGGGAGTGTTGATGGGGGTGAGGCATTTTTTGTCGATGTCGAGCTTCTCGAATGCGTCCCCGAAGAGCACAGCAGCAGAGCTACTTGTATCAACCAGGATCCGCCACATCTCAAAATTGGCAACCTCAGGTGTGATTACCAAGGCGTTGTCGTGCGGGGTCTGAACTCCTCGGAGGTCATCGTCGGTGAAGGTGATTGATTGGTTGCGCTTTTTCTTGTGTCCCCAGTTGTCGATTTCGCACAGTTGCGCATACTTCTTGCACCCCAAGCTGCTCTCTCCTCCTGCGGTGATACTTCCTGATATCACGTGGATCACACCAGCAGGAGGAGCTCAAGTTGGTGGCCGAGCATTCTCCACGCGTTGTTCCTCTTGTGTAGGCTTCTCGTTCTTGTCGACGAACCTGCTGAGGTACCTGCGCCTAATCAGGTCTTCGATGTGGTTGCGCAGGTCGAAGCAGTTCTCCGTCTCATGGTCGTGGTCCCTATGGAATTCGTAGTACTTGTCGTGGTTCCTCTTGTTGCCTTGTGTTTTCATCTTCTTGGTCCACCAGACGTAACTGTGGTCACGAATTTGCATCAAAACCTTAGACTGCGGTGTATTTAGTGACGTAAAGTTCCGATATGTTAGCGGAGGTGTCTGTGGTATGTGATCGAGACTGCGATCCTGCCTCTTATGGTCCCGATCTGATCTTTTTGACTGCCGCTCCTCTCTGTCTCTCCTCTTTTTGTTGGGCCTTTCTTCCTCATCCTGCAGTTGTGCTTGTGCTTCTTCCGCATTGATGTATTTCTGCGCATGGCTCATCAACACAGTTAGGGTTTGTAGGGGGTTCTTGGAGATGGAGAAGTTGAATGGCGAAGGGCGGAGGTCGTGTTGAATAGCAGTGACGGCCATGACTGGTTCAAGTTTCTAACCTATAGTGCCTCTTTGTTGAATCTCGCCAGGTAGTCTCTAAGGGATTTTGCTTTCCTCTGTCGTACTTGCGTAAGGCTGGCCGAGGTCTTCCAATGCTTCTGGCTCGCCGTGAACTATGCGCAGAACTGGGTTTTCAACTGCTCCCACAATGCTATGGAACGTGGGGGCAGAGAGGAATACCAAGTTAGGGCTGGTCTTGTGAGGGTGGCCACTAGGGCTTTGCACATCAGGCCCTCAGAGGATTCGTGCAACACCATTTGAGCCTTCAGTGCCTCGATGTGGTCGATAGGATCAGTATTCCCGTCGTACTTATCGAGTTGAGGTGCTCACCACCTCGTTTGGAGGCACCTCGTCCACAATCTCCTGGGTGAATGGTGGTTCCATGGTAGTTGGTGCAGCTAGCTATGTGGGCTGATCTACAACCAGCGCCATGCTTCTTTGGCCTTGGCTACGCTCCAACTCTTCCAAGCATTGTCAAATGTCTCAGATTTCAGCATCCCTATTATCCGGGACCGCAGTACGTGCGGCTTTCTCCTTCTTCGGCTGTGCAGAGAGGTCTTTCACCGAGTTGGACTCGGCAACGGAGACCATGCGAGGTGGCGTCCACCTGCCGAGCCTCTCTTTGGCGGGGATTCGCGTGGTTTGGTGCATCCTACTGCGGTTATCAGGCTCATGAGAGCGGGCCGTGGAGGCGGATTGTCTTGTTGTGTCTTGCTTCTCATGCTCGGGCCGCGCTCCCCTCCTTTCTGGCCGATGCGTTTTGGGGTCCTTAGGATGAGGATCGTCCTTCATGTGTGTCGGGGCATGAGGGGGGACAACCCAGTTGGGCGGTGCCACGAATCCTAGTGTCTGCATCATCTCGAAAATCTTATCGACCTTCTCTTGCATTGGTCAAAATTGCAAAAGATCAATCGCAGCTAGAGGCTGAGGAATTTCTTGATGCAGAGGGCTTTGACACTGAGATTCCCAAGATGGGGATCGACCTGTTGGTCATTCAGATTGGTTCTTGGGCATCTTGATCACTTTCTTGATTGCGCAGTGAGGAAGAAAAGATTTTCGGGAAAGGCTTTTTGTGTGTTTCCCACAGATGGCGCCATTATGATGCTGCTCAATCCGAGGTGGTGCACGAATTGAGGAGAGTAACCAGATAGTCCTTGCCAACAAAGCGGTGCCGAGCTACAAGGACGAGGTTGCACTTCAAGACATGGGATCAAGAAAGGAGAAGTCAGAGGCCCGAGGTGTTATCCCCGAGTAGGCACTCAAATGCTCAAGTCAGTAGGAGGTGATGGATGGTCGGGCCGAGTTATAAGGATGCTGGTCCAAGCAGAGTAACAGTATGGGTATCAGAAGTTGGAATCCCTTACCTTGAGCGGGGAATGCCTCTTTATAGCCGAAGATCTGTGTCCTGGTTGGATTGGGCTTCCGAGGTTGTCGGGATGAGGTTCTCCGCCGAGGTCCTCGAGCTAGAGTCCTATTCCTCGACAGAGTTGTCTTCCACTCTCCTCTTATCTATAGTTGCGTTTATCCGCATTGACGTGTAGCTGACGTGACTGAGGGATAAGATGGGGGGCCACAATACTAGCGTAGTTCGGCTGAGCTATCCCGACGTGGCTGGGCTATGCCGACGTGGTTGGGCTGACTGGGTGATGACTAGGATGGCACGTGTCTCTCAGGACTAGCTCAGCCATGACCCGAACACCACTCCTCCAGTTCTGAAGTCGAGGAATGAAGTGTTCCCGCTTGGTTTCTTGGCTGAGGAATTTCCAAGTCGAATTATGGTTGAGCGTCTGGTCAACTTGGTGCTCCTCGATGCTTGGGATCTGGGCAATGTGGAATGTGGCTGAGGAGTTTTTCAATTGTCGGCTGCAGAACTCCCAAAATCCTAACTTCAGAATTCGAACACATTTAAATAATTGTTAAATGTTTTAATTGAAACTTTCTTTAGATAGATATAAATGAAAATTTGGGGAGAGGATAAATAGGAATTAGAGGTAATTTAGGAGATAAATAGGAATTAGGGAGAGATAGAGATAATTGGTTTCCTAATAAAAAGGAGAGGAAAAAAAAGAGATAAGCCATGTTAGATGACAACTCCTAAAGCTTCTAGGGGCTCGTTCGCTTTTCGGTAAGTTACTTACCCGGGTAAATGCAATTACCTGGGTAAGTTTTTTTTGGGAAACACTTACCCAAGTAAGCGTATTTACCCTTGTTCTTTTATTTCCCAAGTAAAAAAGGAAATGACCATTTTAACCATAAAAATCCTTTATTAAAAGGGGCATTTTTGTCCCATTCAAGTGTTCAAAACTTCCCCCTGGTGGAAAAGTTATTTACCCACCTAGGAGATGGGTATCACTTGCACGGGTAAGGGATATCCAAGAAAATAAAATTTCCCTGGTCCCCACATTAATCTGAAAAAAGAACATGGGATTCTTGGTCAATGGGAACTAAAAAACCATTGACTAAGCGTCTATTTGGAACCGTTGCTGTTGCTCCAGAAAATGATGCCACATCTGTGCCATGTAGGAAAAAATGGTGCTCCAAGAAACAACATTTTGTTTGGAACCGTTTTTCCATAGAAAACGGTGCTCCAAGCCACACCTTGGAAATTGGGAAGGCATGGCTTGGAGCAACACCAAATTTTGGCATTTTTCTGGAGCTGCAGCTCGTTGCTGCCAACAAGGTAGTGATGTGGCAGTGGATAATAGGTAGAAGTGCAGAAAACATTTCCTGGAGCATTGGTATCAAACAGAAAAAGTTGCTGTTGCTCCAGGAAACATCCTACTTGGCAGCAACGATTCTAAACAAAAAAAAGGCACCGTTTTCTTATGCTCCAAGCCACACATCTGCAACGGTGCTGCAATTGCAGCATTGATGCCAAACATATACCAACTTCTTCCTCTCAAAATCCCAAAATAGAACACCCCTAGAGGGAATCTTGCACCCCTCTAAAATTGCTCGATTTGAGTTTGGAGCAAGGAGAAAACTGCTGACATGACGGTTGACCCATGACCCGGATGATTGAACCGGTGACATGTCCACCCGAAAACATTAATCTCAGGCTCTCAGCAAACGCCCACGCGAAGACAAACGTGCTTTCGGACGCGGACGCGCACGCGCACACCCACACGCACATGAACTCGATTCTTCGGTTAAACAAAGCATATTCTCTCTCTCTCTCCCCCTCTCGTTACGAGTCCATTCTCCATAGTCCATAATGTTTTATTCTTTGTCTCGTCGTCTCTGACGTTGAGAATTAAATCTAACCAAATTGGATAAATATTTCATCCTTGAACCAGAAATCCTCCGATATCCATTTCAAAGGGGCCATGGATCTTTGGTCCCTTCATGTGAATAACAGCACCCGAGGACCTTTCTGCGCGAAAACCTGTCCATTTCTACAGAGAAATTCATGGCCTGAAAGACCTTTTTCTTGCAATTTGGGGAAGACGGGATCTTTACGAGTTGAGGATGGAAAAGTTCTCGAGATTAGAGTTTCAAAGTTAAAGAATTCTTCTTATCGGTCCATGATCGTAAGGGCGATGGGCAAGAAGAACCACGATGGTTCATCTTCTGGTGAGCATTATTTATTTATATTTATTTTTATTTCTGTATGTGATTGTTTAAAATTTTTAAAACCTCTCGGATTTCTTTTTTTTCTTAATTCAAAATTGATTTGGTTATTTGATGTTCTGCTCTTGGGTTTTAAATATCTGTGGCATTTGAGTTTGGATCAATCCCTTTTTTGTGTTGCTTTTCCAATGATTATTACGATTTTGTTTTCTTTACACTCTTGTAACCTTTTTTTAACTTGTTGGGATTGACTTTCCGTTGCTAGAATTTTTCCTTCTTTGGAGTTACACTTTTGATCTGATAGATTTGAATAATGTATTTCTTGTAGAAATACCAGAATGATATTCTTTTATCTATACATATTTTGGACTTAAATAAATTCCAACTCCTGATCGACCTCGAAACAGTCATCTGGTTGGTACTTTCTTTGAGAAATTCTGGAGGATAATTGGACAGGAATATTACACTGTCTTGTTTTGGAGTAAAACTTTAGGAGTATGAATTTAATACATTGATAGTTGCTTGAAAAATTAAACCATCTTATCATCTGATAAAAAAACATAATATAAACACTCTTTCCTCATTTTTTGGACATGCTCTTGATTGAAAGTCAATCAGTTGTTTTTCTTCTCTGTGGATTAGATAAACAAGGAGCAAGCAGGCATCATTTGTTTTGGGCTCAATGTTAATAGGGCGGGGGGGGGGGGGGGGGCCTCTGCTGTAATGGGTGTTATTTCTAACAAGTTCTTGTTGTACTATCCTACTTTTATGTTCTAACAAAATTCGTTGAGTTGCTGATAAAATAAAAAAATGTTGTTTTTCTTCTCTAAGTGTTTGGGCAACAAGACGACAGAGTAATTTTTATCCCATTCATTAGGAAAAACAATGGAGATGATGAATTTGATGATGCACACTGTCATCTTCATTCTTACTATGACATTGCCAGATATTCTGTTAAACAAGTGGAAAATGAATATTTGGATGGAATTGTAATCAAGTTAGATAGATGTGACTGGAGATTTTATAGGAAATGAGTACCAACAAAGAACAGATCTAAGCAAGATGCATCATAAAGAATAGTTAGAAAAATCAAGGAACATTTTAGTATGTAAATTGAAGATGTGAATTATAAAGACTATTCATACCATTGGTGGAATTCTAATGGAGTGAAGAATTATATTAAAGATTTGAAAATAAAAATTTTGGAGTTTAAAAATTAGTTAGCTTAGTCGAGCTTGAAGAACCTATTCAAGTTGATGTTGGTGAGGAAGAGGATGTTGACTTCATCATGAGAATTAAATTCAAAATATTTTAAAATTTAAACTACGATGGTGTTAGGAATTAATAAGTTAGATAATTTAAAAATCTAGAAAGTTGAGAAAGTATGTACTTAGTCATGATACGGTTTAAGAGGTATGTGGGTGCAATGGGTATCTTGAATTGTAAAAAGGCCAAGTAAGTATGAATTAATATGGATTAATATATGGGAAGGTTAGGCATTGGTGGAACGTTTACAGATGATAATGGGGTAATTGGGGTACTATACTTAGGACCAATAGGCCAAGGAGATTCCTTAAGGACTGAATTGATGGATTTACATCAAGTCTTTAAGCTTGCTAGCTCTTAAACTTCAAAGACATCTTGGTGGAGGGCAATTCATGCATACCTGTGAACCTATCAAATAATAATGCAGACTAACAGAGGTGTTAGAAGAAGCCTATAAATTAGGGGTGTGAGATGTCCATTTGTGTAGAGAGAACTAAAGAGAGAGGTAACGAACTGGTGAAAAGTATACTTGAGAGAAAGAAGTGGAGAAAAAGGAGTGAGTTAAAAAAATCAAGTTGGAGAAAAAGGAGTTGAGTGAGTAGTGCTGTTGAACTGTGCTGCAGTGTTCGAATGCTAAGTTCTCTGCTTTGTCTATTTGGAGGCCAATCATTGAGAGAGTGGAGAAGAAGCTAGATAGGTGGAGTGCAAAGTATTTGTCGCTGGGGAGCCGAATTACTCTGGTTAGAAGTGTCCTGTCTAGTTTTCCAACTTATTACATCTTTCTCTTGAGAATTCCAGCTGAGGTGGCCAAGAAAATTGAAAGACTGCAGAGGGAGTTCTTGTGGGAAGGGGTGGGAGGTTCTAAGAAATTCCATCTGGTTAGCTGGGACTTGGTTTGCAGACCAAAGAAGAATGGGGGTTTGGGGATCAGAAGACTGAAAGTATTTAATAGGGCCCTGTTGGGCAAGTGACTGTGGAGGTTTGGATTAGAAAAGGAGAAGGATTACCTATGGAGGAAGGTGGTGGTTGGGAAATATGGGGTGGTTGGCTTTGGGTGGGCATCAAGATAAGTTACATCTTCTTTAGGGTGAGTGTCTGGAAAAGTATCATGAAGTTTAACCAAGAATTTAGAGATCTCACTTGTTTCTTTGTTGGGGATGGCTCCAGAATAAAATTCTGGGAGGACGACTGGTGTGGAGTGGGGAGGTTGTGTGAGATTTGCCCCAGACTTTACAGGCTGGTTGATCATGATGTTCCCATCAGCCACTGCTATGAGAAGAGGGGGGGACAAGGTGATTTGGTGTCCTAAATTCAGGAGACCCCTTTGGGATGGGGAAGTGGAGGAATGTATAAAGCTGTTGGAAGTTTTGATGAAATCAAAGGAGTTGTTAGAAGCACAATGCAGAAGCACAATGGAGAGTGAATTTCAGTCATGAGAGGAGTTGCAGGAGGATTTCAGAGCCCCGGGAGTTTTCCGCCGGTCAGAAAATGGAGAAGTTTTTTCAAAGTGGAAAGGAAGGAATTCCTGTTGGAGGAACTGTTCCAACAGAAAGAGCTTACCGTTAAGATCTGAGAAGGTAGAAAAGGTACAGTTCTGCTAGCGGGGCAGGCGGCATTTTGGTTTCAGAGTTTTCTGGATGGTGCAGTGAATGTTAGTTGGAGAACGGACTGGAAAGGCACAATTAGCATTAGAAATAAAGACTACTATGCAGCAAGAAGGAGAAATGAAAAGGGATGGTTTGTGTCGTTAGAAGAAAGGTTTGAGATGGGGAAGAAGCAACTGATTATTATTCCAGAAGGCAAAAATCTGGAAGGGTGGTCAAGAGTTGCTAATGAACTTCATGCGGTGGTAAGTAGAAGTTGGGGGAATAAAGAGGAGAGTGACACAACAAAGGAAAAAGAATTTGTTGAAGCTGAGGGAATCGAAGATAAACGCAAGTGCAAGAACTCTGCGACAAATGCTTTAGTTACAGTGGAACCAATAATCAGGTTAGAGGGAGAGAAGGGGGACTGGGAGCAAAAGCTAGTGGTTACAGCAAAAAACAAAGTGAAGAATTGGGAAAGAATTTCAGAAGACGTAACAAAGGAACTAGGTTTCAAGTATACAACAGTTCTCACACCTTTTGATGAGAGAAACACCATTCTGGATGCAGGTAAGACGAAGGTGGATGTTGAGACTGTTGTTACACAAGAGGGGACTGTGACAATTGGGAAATAGTTGCCATCTTGCAACTCTTTAGAGATAACTGGCAACTGTTTTCAGTTGAACCTGTTGGGCTTGCCTTTCAATCTTTGGCAGAGGAGCATACTTGAGCAGATCCTATTTTCAAAGAAAAGGGGAAGAGTGATGTGGAGGGCAACAAGAGCAGCCATTCTTTGGTCTTTATGGGAAGAAAGGAATAACAGAATATTCCAAGGGGCACAAAGATCAACAGAACAAATCATTGACTGTGTAGCCATTAGTCATACATTGGCTGAAAGTAAGTGACTTGTTTAAAGATTTTTCAGTGGATGATATACAAAGGGGCTGGTCAGCAGTGGCAAACTCTTCAACCAGACAGCCTGTCTTTCAGCCTTATTGGACACCAGCAGCACAACAAAGGGTAAAATTAAATTTTGATGGAAGCTCCATGGGTAATCCAGGACTCTCGGGAGCTGGGGGAGTCTTTAGGGATGGGGAGGGCAGAATGGTGGCACTATACTCTGGTCCCATAGGAGTGGGAGACTCTATGAGAGCTGAAATTTTGGCTCTCCTACAAGGCCTGAGATTTGTCAAGCAATGGGAGTTTCAGAACTTGGAGGTGGAAGGAAACTCTAAATTGTTAATAGGGTGGCTGCAAACAAAGAAGTTGGGTGTATGGAAGTTTAGACAGCAAATAAGGGAAATAATCTGCTTGGCAAGGGAAGTTGGAGTAACATTCAAATGGGTAAGAAGATCGGCAAACTCTGTGGTAGATAGCTTGGCAAAACAGGGGGACGTTCAGGGAAAACTTCTTTTGGGCTGTACTGTAATTCTTGATGTTATTTGGGGTCAACACTCTTTGTCTGAGTGGTTGACAGTGTAAGATGTTTATTTAATATCCTTAATGAAAGTTACCGTTTCCAATAAAAAAAATGCTTGAGCAGATGGTGACAACGATTGGAGGTACGTTGCTTTCATTTAACAAACATGATCTGAGAGCAGTATGCCTGAAGATTGCTGGAGTCAAGCAAGAGTTGATTCTGAGATCTTTCATGCTGCATGCCGGAGGTCTATGGAACAGAGTATGGGTGGCCTCGGAAGTGGAAGCGACGCTCTGGTTCGGGAAGATGAAGGAGAATAGTGACTTAGCCAGATGGGTTATACAAATGGTGAGGCATGGGTGAATGAGTACAGTGAAGTGGGCACTGACGTGGAAGCAGGAAAGGTTGCAGTGAGGATTTCGGGCAAGGCGTTTCAGGTTCCAGACTTGATTGCAGGAAGAGAAAGGGGAATAAAGGAGGTTAATGAAGAAAGAGATTTGCATGGGGAAAGAGGATCACATGAGGAAGATACATCGAAAGGGGATAAATCATTGAGTGGGTGGGGTCCACTGCTTAAAGAGAAGAGATTTGAAAAGAATTTAGCTGAACCGGCTGGTCTGCCAGTGTCAAAAGAGTCAGTCATTGGGGTCTAGAAACTCACATGACCACACTAGTAATCATTCGTTGCTTGGGCTTTGATAAATTCGAGTGGTGGGGTCTATTCAAATGCATTT